TCCTTATCCCGAAGTTACGGATCCAATTTGCCGACTTCCCTTACCTACATTATTCTATCGACTAGAGGCTCTCTCCCTTGGAGACCTGCTGCGGATATGGGTAACCGGCGCGACACCTCCACGTGGCCCTCTCCCGAATTTTCAAGGTCCGAGGGGAAGACCAGGACACCGCTCCAACTGCGGTGCTCTTCGCATTCCAAACCATATCTCCCTGCTAGAGGATTCCATGGAACTCGAATGCTTATGCAGAAAAGAAAACTCTTCCCTGGTCTCCCGACGGCGTCTTCGGGTCTTTTTGGGTTACCCCGACGAACTCTCTTGCGAGGGCCCGACTATTGTACGGTTCCGCTGCCGGGTTTCGGAATAGGAACCGAATTCCCTTTCGCCCGACGGGCGTGTTCTTTATATATACACACATACATACATATATTTATAAAACAACGCCACATCAACATCGGCTTTCGCCTAGGGCTTAGGATCGACTGACTCGTGTGCAACGGCTGTTCACACGAAACCCTTCTCCACGTCAGTCCTCCAGGGCCTCGCTGGAGTATTTGCTACTACCACCAAGATCTGCACCGACGGCGGCTCCAGACGGCCTCACGGCCAGCCCTTCTGCGCGCACCGCCGCGACCCTCCTACTCGTCAGAGCTTCATGGCCGATCCGTTTTTACGCGGATCGAGACCGCACATGCCGCTGACGGCCGAGTATAAGCACGACGCTTCAGCGCCATCCATTTTCAGGGCTAGTAACTTCGGCAGGTGAGTTGTTACACACTCCTTGGCGGATTCCGACTTCCATGGCCACCGTCCTGCTGTCTTAAGTTACCAACGCCTTTCATGGTATCCCATAAGCGTCGATTTAGGCGCTTTAACTCGACGTTTGGTTCATCCCACAGCGCCAGTTCTGCTTACCAAAAATGGCCCACTTGGCACTCTGATTCGATTCTCGCAGCTTCATTAGTTCGAGCAAGCCGGAGATCTCACCCATTTAAAGTTTGAGAATAGGTTGAGGTCGTTTCGACCCCAATGCCTCTAATCATTCGCTTTACCGGATGAAACTCGTCACAGACGAGCGCCAGCTATCCTGAGGGAAACTTCGGAGGGAACCAGCTACTAGATGGTTCGATTAGTCTTTCGCCCCTATACCCAGTTCCGACGATCGATTTGCACGTCAGAATCGCTACGGACCTCCATCAGGGTTTCCCCTGACTTCGTCCTGACCAGGCATAGTTCACCATCTTTCGGGTCCCAGCGTGTACGCTCTTGGTGCGCCTCTTCTCGTAATGAGAACGAGACGCCCCGGGAGTGCGGAGCGGCCGCTTTATAGACGTGCCGCCCATCTTCCCTAAATCCGCGCTAGGCGGATCTTTACTTTCATTGCGCCTTTAGGTTTAGTTATGTCCCAATGACTCGAGCACATGCTAGACTCCTTGGTCCGTGTTTCAAGACGGGTCCTGAAATTACCCAAAGCTATAGCGTCGCAGATCGGCGTTTCAAAACGAGGTCTGTCCGAGAAATCCGCACAACCAACAGTCCGTCCGGGGACGGAACCGTGCGCTAGGTCCGATCGCCGTCTTAGCATCGAACGTGCTTGTCGTGGTCGGACTCTAATTGAGAAGTAGCGGCCTCGCGCCATCTGTATACCGTCGAGCGAGTCGGCCGGAACATCGCGGGTTCTAGCACGAATCGCCGAAACGATCGTACACGGACTCCCACCGCGAGCCGTAGACCGACACCCACGGATCGCGACGTCCTACTAGGGGAAAAGTGCACGCGTTCGACGCCGGATCAAAAGGAAGGCGAGGACGACGCCGCTGAACGCCGTCCGTCGCGCGGACCGCTCATCGCCGACGGCCGAAACGCGAATGAATTTCCCCTTTCGACCTTCGGGTTTCTCAGGTTTACCCCTGAACGGTTTCACGTACTCTTGAACTCTCTCTTCAAAGTGCTTTTTCAAAAACTTTCCCTCACGGTACTTGTTCGCTATCGGTCTCGTGGTCTATTTAGCCTTAATGGAGTTTACCACCCACTTAGGGCTGCACTCTCAAGCAAACCGACTCTGAGGAGAGATCCTCCCGCGATCGGCAGCGCCACTACGGGCCTGGCACCCTCTATGGGCTGTGGCCCCGTCAAGAAGGACTGGACTCGCCGCGCGACCTCGGGATAAACGGATCCTCCCTAACACCACATTTCCCGGCGCCCGATATCGAACGCGGGATTCGGTGCTGGGCTTTTCCCTGTTCGCTCGCAGCTACTGAGGGAATCCTAGTTAGTTTCTTTTCCTCCGCCCTTAGTAATATGCTTAAATTCAGCGGGTAGTCTCACCTGCTCTGAGGTCGGTTAACAATATACAACACAACACCACACACAGATATATATGTCACACGCGATCGCTAATACTAAATCGTATAGCTGCTGCTGCTATACTACTACTAGTCGAAAGCGTTCTCTAGTGTTTAGCGCGTATATGCGATCAGACGTCGTTATCTCGAAAAAAATAATTTCTCTCTCGGACACGACGATCGCAGCGCAAGTTCGAAACGCGTAACGAAACAGCATATATACATATATATATATATATATATATATATATATATGTAGTGCTATTACGATTTTTATCCGTACAGCGCGCGTGTTCGTTCTATGTGTGAGTTTACGATTCGTTCGTATGACGAACGAATCGTCGCTTTCGCGTTTTGAGATGCCGCGACGACGGACAAAGACGACGACGTTTACGATATTACATAAATAAATATATAATAACTAGCGTCGTCGCGTCGTACCGCCGCGTCTACATCCAACACGCTCCGACGTTTCATTCTCCTCTCTCATGTCGTCGTCGTCGTCGTCGTCTCTCGGATAAAGAGATAATACGACGACGCGAACAGAGATCGGAGAGGAAACCGAGCAGTCTTTTAAATTGATACGACCCTCAGCCAGGAGTGGTCCGGGAACAGTATCCGAGGACCGCAATGTGCGTTCGAAATGTCGATGTTCATGTGTCCTGCAGTTCACAAGTTGACGCGCAATTAGCTGCGTTCTTCATCGACCCACGAGCCAAGTGATTCACCGTTCAGGGTAATCGTTTTTTAATTAGACGATCTCTATATATATAAAATATATATCGATACGTCTTTATTGTTATGATAATGGCTAATGTTATTAAAGAAATATATAAAAAAAAGAAAGCGCGCATTTCTCACGGAGACTTCGTGTATTTTGCGCGGCAAACGCGCAAAATTATTTTTGCGCGTTTATAACAACGAGCGTTGCGACGAAGTCTCTCGTGTACGCGCGCATTCTATCCGTATCGCGCTTCTATAGCATACGCGTGTGCAAGGGGTACAAATAACACTACAACAGAGTTGTACATAACATGAATATATATGTATGTATTAAGCGTACAAACACGTGTCGTCCTCTTGTACCGTCTTTTCGTATGGCGTAGAAATTTCGACTAACGGGCGAATATCTTTAAAAACAACCGGAAAAGAAGGAAATGAGTCGTGCGGACACGACGACATATCTCCGTTCTTCTCCCATATAGAGTTACCCGTCGAAAATATCGCCATCCGTACAGACGACGACGTCGTAGAGACACGTGTGTACATACGCATACGCATACAACACAATATTATGTCTATGCGATATACGCGTGTCGGAACGTACCCCGAGCGCGCGCTCGCGCGTACTAGAAGCGCTCTATACGGCGTGGTGCGTTCGAAAATTATACGTATTATATGATGGTGGGACGACGAAAAGATTTTCAATAAGATTTATAAAAAAGATACGCACTCGCGTACACGACGAGACGAGGGAAGAGGTTGTGTGTTACACACAAACAACAACACCTCGTTCGGGTAATATACACGTGTGTGCGCTCGATCTTACTATAAATGTTCCTTATTATCTTTTCGAACGTCGCTACATCATCGCCTATAATAAAAAGGCAAATTCGTTC